CACCCACGACACTGTTCTAAGGCGGCCACGAGTTGGACCATTGTCGGCTATTTTGGTTGGGTGAGTGCCCAACATTTACTGTCCATTTCGCCAGACCTTTCTAGCACAGGCAGATGTTAGGAGAGTGTTTTGTGTTTTGTTGGTTGTAATTTAATATTCACGGGCTCTAAACCATGAGATTAGTTTTAGAGTGTGGTGGATATCAGTAGTAGAGCTCGCGATAAAGCAATACTCGCGATAAAGCAACGAAATCGCGATAAAGCAATACCTTGTGCAGGACCTCCTTGAAGTTTGTGGAGCCATGGGGATTTCTGCCGGGTCCTTTAAAACAAGCGAAGCGATTCTCGTGGTGATGCGGGCAGAGAATGTGATGGTCGAGGAAGCTGACGAGTCTTGGGAGATCATTTGTGAGCAAAAGCAGAAGGCCGAGAAAAGCCGCGAAGAGCTGGAAGCTCAAAGACACGAACGATGGAAGGCCGAGGAAAGTCGCAAAGAGAGAGAACATGCTCTCAGAAGGAAAGAACTTGATCGTAAAATTGAAGCGATCATGTGGCAGCGAGCACAATACCGACTCGAACTCTTCAGAATGGACGAGAACATAGTGTTTTTTCTCGTTCATTTTGAAAAGGTCTACGGCGATGTTAGTGTTGGGCGAGACTTTTGGTCGGCGAAGCTTGCCACGTTGCTTACGTGCAAAGTCGCAAGCAGGTAGGAGCGCTTAACCGCTGAGGAAGCGCATGACTTTGATAGGATTAAACACGCTTTGTTCGGTGCAACTTTGCTGCCCTTAGTCCTGCCAACTGCAAAAGTCGAGGGTACAAGTACAGCATTGAAGAGTGCAGCAAAGTGCTAAAAATTGAGGCCCTTAGCAAAACGCAGGACGCCGACATGCGTCAGAGAGAACGAGATGAGGCGCGTCGTAAGGCGATGGAGGTGGAAGCGCCTGAAAATGAGGCTCGCCGAAAAACGCTGGAAGTAGAAGCGTGTCGAGAAGCGCGTAAAGATAAAGCATACCGAAAAGCTGTGGAGGCTGAGGCCCGTCGCAAAGCACAAGCCGCTGAAGTGCGCCAGAGAGAGCGGGACGCCGAAGAGAGTCGTGAGGGGCCTGACATTGAGGCCCGTCTTAAGGTACGAGACGCCGAAGTGCGTCGGACTCAGCCAGACGCTGAGGTACATCGCGAAGAGTTAGGGGCCGAGGCACATCGCATAGCTAGGGACGCCGAGGTGCCTCCTAAAGCGCTAGATACGGAGCCGCTTCACAGCGCACATGATCAGGATGAATCACGTCAAAAAGAACTTGACGACGAGTCGCGTCGCAAGGCACTAGAGGTGGACGCCTGTTAACAAAAGCTTGAGCAGGATGCGCGACATAAAGCACTACAGAATAAAGTTTCTGAAAGAGAGCATGAGGCTGACTTCGAAGGCCAGAAAACAAGGGCTATCTACGACAGCGATTGACCCCCAGCCATCGAAAGCTCTCTAGGCGCGTTAGTTGGCTTTAAAAGCATCGGGACTCCCGTTAGGTCACAAGCAGAGACAGCTAGCAACGGGCCCAGGAAAATGTAGATAGCCAGTCTGGAGGTTCGGCAAAGGCAGCACACTTGGAAGTAAGTGTGTCTAGGCTGCCAGTATTGCGAGAAGTCCCGACTGAAAGAGGCGTCGGCGTAAGCATAACGTGGTAAGTACGACGAGTGCCAGGCGTGCTAAACCCACTGTTAGGTGCCATGAAGTCATCAGTCAAGACGCCAGATTCACGGCTAGGTGTAGGATCGCGACAGGACCCTCTAGGAAATTTTTGAAGCTCAGACCATCACTGAGATCAAGATTAGTCATGAAGCGCATCAAGAAAAACCGAATTTCAGGGAAATTCGAACGCCGAGATCATTGCCTGGTCTTATATTTTTCACTGCCGCGTAGAGGCAACCACGTGGGGAAGCATCGCGTCGCCTGAGCTGTAACAAAGGCTGTCGTTCTCCACCGTGGCGAGGGGGTCACTGGTCGAACGGGCGGGGTAAAGGACGCAGGGCAGATACATTCTTGTTCGAGTTAAGTGGTTGTACGTCAAACGTTGCTGCTACCGAGTTCGGAAAACAGTTTTGTTCATTGGGTCTTTGTCAAGACAGGATTCCTCGAAAGCTATGGAGTGCGCGACTCCCCAGAGTTCGTCTGAGAGGGGCCCCCTCTTGCCACTACTAAGAATAGATTTTGTATTCGGCTTTGGGAATCATTTTTCTAGTTTTGTCATCTGCCGATGAGCAAGGAATGCGTCTAAATGTTTGTAAGTTTTACGTTCCTTGTCATCGAAGAAGCAGACATTGATATCTTTGCTTGATGAATTTCGTTGTCATAATATTCGAAAGTTATGTTTTAACAGAGAAGGCTGAGTAAAAGCCCCTGTTTAAAATAGCTTCTGTGTTTGGCATTACGTGTGAGTATGTGCGTCAGTATTGGTCAACTTTAAACTTTGTTTTGTGTAAAACGCGCAAGTTTGATTTTATGTCTTATTTTCTTACTTTTTCAAGCGTGTTTTAACTTGTTGGGATGCTCATTGGCTGAGCGCCTTGAACGAGAGCTTATCGAATGACTTTGCTATGTTTAACGGTCTGACGCTCGCAGGCGACGCCAATGCGCGTGAATCAGAAGTGCTTGTTATTCTAAATTGTAGTTTCGGGGCCAAATCGAGTTATACCCGTGCCACACGGGCATAGAAAATGACATTTGGTGGCGAAGGCCTTCAGTTCCCGAATGACATTCGTTTCGCCGGCGCTGCTACACGTCCAAAGCGAATGACATTTGACTTGATGATGTCGATCACAGCACCTTCCAAGTGAGCATTGAGTGAATAGCAATAAAAAAAATTAAGAAGAATTTACAAGCTTCATACACATCAGATAATCATCAAATGAAGAAATAGGCGTATTACGCTGTCCTAAGTTTTAGTTTCTTGCTTTGTTTTACAACGTTGCAGCCGACCGTAGCAACCTAAGCCAACACTGGTCAGATCCACAGCGTAAATAGACACTAAAATTGACAAGCGTTTCATTATCAATACTTTATTTTCTTTGTATAACGTTCAAAGCATCTTCTCAAGACTTTAGTGCAAATAAAAGACGGGAAATTTCATTTTCAGCTCAGTATGATTTGTTTTATATACTTTCAGGTAAATCGCACTTCGCGAGATGTGTCGTCGAGAGTAGGCATTTCTCAGTCAACTGAGTTCTGGCGAAGGCAGTTGGTGGCGAATGGCATTCGAATGGCATTCGGATGAATGCCATTTTGTTCGCCCGTGTGGCACCGCGCGAATGGCAATAAATCTGAAGGCATTCGGGGGTAAATGCCATTTTTTCTGCCCGTGTGGCACGGGTATTAGACTCAGCAACTCCGATCGTCCACAATCTGCCTAAGTCACAATTGATAATCGCTGGGAAAGGAACGAAAAAATTATGTTTGGTTCAGGAGTGTCTTGCACTGGCACTTAGCTAAATGTGTGTCCGCAATGTGTATTGCTCCTCAGACACGTTGCTCATGATGCTATTTTTTTAGCTCAGCTTAATCTCGAGGAAGTATTTTCATTTCTGATGCTCTGGCTATTTCATCAGCATTTGGAAGGCGCTTGCTCTGGCCAGGCTAGCTTGGCTTTGTGCTCGACTCCGCCGTTCCAATGATCCTCTGCGGAGCTGTGAATGTCACCACGGGCGGAGAGAGCAGAACAGCTACAATTCTCAACGGTCAACCAGCATCCCTCCCCCTGAGCCGCGCTAGACGGCTCAAAACTGTGGATGCTTTGTCTGGCGGCGGGGGTGCTGTTATGCCACAGGCATTGTCCTTGTTCGGGAGCACTTCTTCCCACAAGAACCAGCGCACTTCCGGCGAACTCCCCCCCCCCCCCTTCCAGCGCCACCTTCCACGCAGGTAGCGGCGAGCCACCGTGCCATTCTGGGGAAAGCATCGCCTCTTCCGCCAAGCACCGGGAACTGGTCTCAGAGAAAGGACCAAAAACGTTAAGGCCGTGCCGGCCCCTTGTTTAGAAATTCTGCACCAGCCGACTTCGTCGTACCGGCCGGCTCTGTACAAACTATAACCTGCTGTTTTAGTAAACGTTCCTACCTGTTGCTGTTTTCAAAACGATTGCCTCCCTATTCTACCTCTGGGCGAAGGCTTCAGCGACGTCCGTTCTGCTGCTCGCCGCTCTTGGCTACCGCTACCAACGTGACACAGTGAATTCATAACAGTGGTGGCAGTGGTTTGATGTCAATAAACCCGAATTGATAACAGTGGGCAAGTGCAAGGAGGGCGGGGTCACGCAAAAAATTTCGGGGGGGGGGAGGTTGAACTCCCCACTCCTTGGCTACGCCACTGGCTCGTCACACAAGGTTAAAGTTTGCCTCGCTAATTCTGAGCATTAGCATGTATTCTGAGCTCTAACAAGAGAAATAAATTCAATGAACTTGTCTTTTGAAAATAATCAGCATCAGCTACGTCATTTTATTTTTACTTTATAATGACCATTTGTGGGGCCGCAGCATTCATATGGGGGACGGATAACCAGCGACGTTAAATTTGCGTTTCTGCTCTAGATTCTTGTGCGCTCGCTACTTCGTCAGCGACTGGAGACAGCGCCGTTCTTCGTACTCGGGGTCATTGGCCGCATTCTAAGCTGTTGCACTTGCGCTTTCTGTATTCTCATTTTTGCCGTCGTTCAGACAATGTGTAAGGAATAGATCCCTTACGGCTGTTCCGTAACTGCATGAGTGGCTAATGGTTGAATAAAGTGGTTTGGGTTCGTGGTTAGCTAAATGTCTAAAATCTGCTGGGTGCGCTGGGGTAACGGGGAGATTCTGACTTTCACCCTTACGACATATAGAAGTGTGAGAAAGATAACATATTGGAGGACTTCACGAAGTGTGAGTTACTTTATGTGGTTGAAACTGTTCTTTCCCTAAGGGGTGTCGGTGTACACTTCAGTGAGATGTCATGTTGCAAGTAAACAACGACACGCGTAATTATAACAAAAACAACATAACGCTTTATTGATACCGGTATTCCTTTACAAAAAAAGTTGGAAGAAGTAAGTGATCGATTAAACACACGCATGAAATATCCTCTAACAATTCAACTTATACACTTCCGCCCAATCAACTGGGATCACAGGGTCAACATGTTTTGCGCTAATATGCGCGGGTTCAGTTTACACCAGAAACATTGCAATTGATTCACAGTGCAGCCAACAAAACACAACGAGCAGGCAGAACTGTTGTCTTCGGATAACATGATGATACACCGCGCGGCATTAACTTGCATAGCAGATACTTAAACACAGGTACACGCTAAGTTACACTCTTCCTCAGTGCTTCATTGCACCAAAGTAAAACACCTCTGTTTAGAGCTGAATCTTCCCTTCCTTCAGGGCGGGTCACAAAAATGAGTGCCACACTCGACTCTCGGCAGAACTTTTGGAGACGACAAATGTCCCCTCAGTGCGTTTGCTGCGCCTCGCGGAGATGCAGCGAAGTCCCTTCCTGTGCCGCTTACCGGACCAGGAAGCGAGCTCACGCACCAGGAAGATCTGGATACTGAATGCGGCCGCTCAAAGAAAACGACAAACATCAAGGAAAAACAAGTCCACTGATGACCAGATTGTAGTAGGCATGTTCCTTTCTTGTTCTACTGCGCTCAGCGCAGCTTTCTAAAAGCCAAGAAAATGTACACTGTTCGGCAAGAAATACATGCACATTATCTCAAAAATATAGAACTGCAAATATCAGCGCAGCATCTACCTATACAGAGAATGAGTAAAAACTAGACTGAACTCACAATAATTACTACGAGAGCAGTTAGCTCATACACTTTGGTGGTGGATACTGAAAAAATAGAAACTGAAATTGGCCATACACATTGCCTTCTTGCGATAATTACCGCACACATTCAAAAAAGATTTCATGCAAAAAGCTATTTACAAGTCGCACTTGTCCGTAGTGCTTCCTTCAAACACGTATTTACGGTTGTTCATTTTAATCCCGAGACTCTCATTGCTCACGGACGGTGCATGCACTTCTGGTTGAAGATATCTTAAGGGTGAATGCTCAACGATTAAAGAATTATTTTTTAATGCTTCAGCTAGAGCGAAAATTTCAATGTCGCCGCACTGTAGCTTTTTAATTGGTTTGTTCGTCAATAGTATTTTATTTGCAGTGAATTTGTAAGTGGGGGATGCGTCAATTTCGAACCTCCCTCTGTGCTTTTTAGGCATCTATTACAGAGTAGAATGTCACAGTTAGAAAAATAGCTTAAAATATTTGTTGAGAGAAGAAATTACTACTTGGTTTCACCTTCGAGAGAATTTACCATTGACTGATATTGTTATGAAATACGACGCACGAACGCGGTCATCGGCTCCTAGTCAGCGTCTACGCTCTGGCTCGCAACCCTCCTAATGTACATAGAAAAGTGTTTGAGCTTCCACGCAACACACAAAGCAAAAGTGCACACTGGCAGACGACGGCATACTATCCCGACGCACCTGTACTCACTGTACCGGTATGCCTGGGGTTGCATAACGCACAGCGAGAAAGAATACACTGCTCACTACGAGGACACAATCACGCAGCCACTTGTACTCAACTGAACGGTATGACCATGCATACCAGTGACGTTATTTAAGGCAGTACCCGGGGAACTTGCTGCACTACTGGTCCGAAAAAAAAAATTACTGGTAATTAGAAAGATGTGCTATTAGCTTTGTTAAGGCAGCTGCATGAGAATATTTTATGAAGCAGGCTTTTGCAGAAAAACTCGTGGTTCCAATAAACAGACGCTTTTTCAGTAAAAACTTTAATTATGTAATCGTCATAAGGATTCAAGTAATGAACTTACTACTCTCTGTACCTTTCCTCAGATAATTACGCACACGTTATATAATTCCTCGATTGTGTGTCTACCACGGGCGTCATGTGCCTACGTGTTTCAAACAAGCGTTAGAGTCTGATCTTACGAGAATCGGTGAGCATGTGTTCTCAATTCTGTCAACTTTTAGTGCTTTAGTAAAGAGCCACTAGGACATCGTCCTCTCGTCCTGTTTTTCTTTTTTGTGTTTGCGTGTGTGTGTGTATGTGTGTTTGCTCCAGACACGATCACAAATGCATCAGACAAATTCTTGTACTATTGCTAGCTTTCAGCGTATTAACTTGAGATTTTTAGTCCACTTTTTACGATATTAGCATAGGGCATTACTTCAAAAAAGATAAATCCTGTAGGACCTCTTTCCGAGAACATATTGCACACTTTTATACTCATCGATGATTATTTTATGAATACTCCAGTTAGAAGACTAAATGAGTGGGCGTACAACAATATATCATGCAATATAATGTTCTAAAATATGTTAAGAACCTTCAATAACAATAACAAGAAAATAATACCAATGGTGACAATAAAATACTAAGTATATTTGTAAAAAACAACTACTGTTGCATCCGTTGGTATAGACACAATACTCATTAAGTAAAGATCATTACTAAAGCTTGCGAACTTGAAGAGTTTCAGATTTTTTTCTTGCGAAAGATATTAAATTCTTACTAATGGATTCTTGAGCGCGGAGATGATCAGCAACATAATAGACACAAAAACTATAAGGTAGCTTTTAAAAGCCGAGTGGCTGCCATCACATTGTAAGGACCATCAGTGTTTCTATCAGTGGTATACCATCGTTGTGAATCCAGAAAAAATGGTTAGGAAAATTCATCTACTAGGCCTTAAACGCAAGCTATACAGATTTCATACCTAACTCCTAACATTAGCATAATGCCACTTAACAACAAAGTTATGCGAATGCTGTAATTATTATCGAATGAGAACTAAATGGCGTGTTATGTGGAGAAAAATGCCCCTTTGGCTCACAAAGCTTTTGTCACGCGCTGCTATGAGTTTCAACTAAACGCACATTATTTTTCTACGCGTGTAATATTGAGGTTATACTGAAGCAAAGTATCCAGTGGAACATTTTCAGGCGTCGCACTACAAAAGCAAACTATGAATCGAATGACAATTAGAGATTTTATACTTGCTTTTCTACACACTTCTTAAGCTTTAACTGGTAATAAAGACATTTAAGAGCTACTAAACTAACCTACTGCTGCAAGCTCCAAATTACGCATGTTTCACGAGCTGAGGGCGCTGCGAGTTTTGAAGCAACGCGATTCATGTTTTCATGATTAGTCTCATCGGCCCGTTTGCAGCATTATATTATAAACTGCTGTAAACAATAACAAGCCATCTCGAAACAGTTCTCAAATGTATGTTTTCAAAGCTAACTTTATGTATATTAAATTCGCTCTTGACGCACGTACCCGAAAAAAAAGCTTGGATTAAGGTGGAAGCGCAACAAATGGCACATTATCTTGGCAAGTAAGAATGTTAGTGACAGAGAGAATAACGCCAGAAAAGTTGCATTTGTCAAAAAGAAATCAGCCCAATATTTGAGGCAGTGGTGAAAAAGCGATGGATCATGCTTGAAAACGTTCGTACAAGAGAAGGTGACGTGTGCTTAGGCTATCTGAATGAATGTCACGAGAAAATGAATAGCACTTCTCGGATTAAACGCGAAAGTAGGGATCTCTGAAGTTTCAAAGCGTTTTTTTTTTCTTTCTGTATCATTCTGCTCAAAGTAACTCTCCCTGTAGCTATTATAAATTCAGCTTCATGGCAAACTTATGTAATCCAGGTTAGTAGATGTGATTTGACAGCATGTTGTTCATATTTAACTGCTCACTACTCCTTATTAGTCTGCTTGTGAAACATGACAATGGCAAAAGTCAGAACAATATATATTTGGCAGCATACTATATAAATCACCTTTTTCCAGTCTTTGCACCGTGACCAGATAATAAGCAATGAATGGTGGCCTAAGAAAGGAAATCACATGCAGACGCTTTGACGTTTTCGAAGCTTTCCGGTCCCAGCTTCGAAAAACAGCGGACCATTATATTCCCTATTCGCGCTTCATAGACGCTGAGCGCCTCTGAGAGATAGCGATATACCCTGAATATCATGCAGCTTTCGGAGCGTGTCAAGCGTTGCTGGCAAACGACCATTCGCTAGCCGGCGCGCCAGCACTTCTCGTCCCATCACCACAGCCATTTCAGGAGCGGGCAGTCGGGTGATGGAACGTGTGCGCTCAGAAGCCGAATAGTCGAGCCTCACGTCATCCCGATCTGTCCAGCGGTGACGCGTCGATGAGAAGGCGCGAAGAGTGTCTTGAATGTTGGAGGCAACACGGTGGCGGTTTCGCAGATGAAATGGTAGCTTTCGATCGCGATAGCTGAAAATGTGGAGTGGGTGTTTTATCAGAGTGGACAAGATTTGGCGCCGCTGCGCAGGCGAGGGAAGCCGATGCCGAGTAGCCAACCGAATAGAAGGATGCGTGTGGTAGCCGCTTGCCCAAGCCGGTGGTTTCACGGAAAAGTGTGTCTGCTCTTTCCCGCTAATATCTGGTGCACGGCCTACCACAGTGCCACCATTAACGAATTTATTCCAGGTGTTTAGAGATAGCGCCGTAATCTCGCTACGGCTGTTCTTGTCTGATGAATGATGCGGAAAGTGATTCGAAGGCGATAATGATTGCACGCCGTTATTGTCACTTTGGGAGTGAAGGTATGTGTGATGGCTGACACTGTCAGATGAGTTCAGCTTAGCAGTACTGTGAGCGTATTGCGAATCGTTGCGCGAAGCTGAATCAAGTCGCTTCTCTTCCGATTTTGCAGCCGAAGACTCGATGAGTGCTTCATCCCCCGACGACGCATGGGCACTGCTCATTTCACTGAACTTCGGCGGCTTCCGCCTATGGTTCGACGGCGATGACCTTGGGCCATCGAGGTCGAAGGACGTTAGGTAATGTTGGCAGCATTTGACATTAAGCAGGCGAGCAGGAATGCGCTTCGAAGGCGCTGAGCAGAAAGAGTTGCGCAAGGACCGGGACAGTCGGCGGCGGCGGCGCGCTTCCATTGAGCAAGACTGCGCACAAGGCGTGGCACCGCGGTGACTTCCTGCGCAACTGTTTTTCCGCTTCTTCCTGGCCGCATGCTATGGATTCACATTGAACCGTTTACTGCTGCCCTCGTAGGGAGTAACCACCTGGAGGATGTTCTTGCTGTGACCAAAGTGACGAATCCTGTAGACGCCCGGTTCCGCACTTTGCGGGATTTCCCACATGACTGTCGCCTCGCTCTGCCCCAGGAAGCCCGAAGTGCGGCGCCAGTAGAATCTGCATTTGCCACAAAGCACACATTAGCCTACATAAAAATTCCAGCGCGCATTCATGCGAACAACGCAAGGTCATTTTTTTACACAAGCAGTTTTTCTTTAGGATTCCACGCCTAATTAGGCATCACAATTATTTCATGCGCCGACTCTTGCGTAAAGTGAGACACTTAAAGTACTCAAAAATTGAATCATTGCATTAAACAAAAGTCTATTTCACTTCTCAAAAGCTCGAAAGCCTACAAAAGTACGAACGTGAGAAAACGTCGCGACAGAAGTCCTTGAAGAACGTGTACAGATGCTGATTCCCTATTGTTTCACTTGGGCGTTGCCCCCTATTATACATCGTACCTATGGACGGTCTCATTGTGCTGTATCAAAGGTTGGTTCCGAACTAGTTGATGACATTTAGAAACTGGCAAGTGCACGAAAACAGGGACAAGACTACGACACGCAGACGGCTACTTAGACGAATATTTACTACGACACAAATACGCCAAATGTGTACTTTCTCCACTCGTCAAAGGGTAACTGCGCATGCTTGAGAAACGGGCTACCAGTTTTTCTTTTATTCTTACACTCTATCTACCTATATTGTCTTCACGAGAACAATTATATGCTTTGGTATATCAGTTTTAATTAGTGCTGTGCGCGTCGTCTTCTTGTTTTCATCTTCCTACGCTTACCAGTTTCAAAATGTCCTTGTCCCGTTTTTTTCATGCTAGAAAGGTTGCTTTCCAAGAGAGACGTTCCAGCTAGACTCAGAAAGAGTTCATTTCACGTTCCATCATTAAAAAATGAATTTCATAATTTTATATTGACACAATAGCATTGAGATCAAATTACAAATGTGCGAACCAAGTGATTTGTTCTTTTCATGTGCACAGGGCATCAGAAAACTGACCAAAATTTGAACTGTGTCACTCTCCAAAATAAGTCACGGAAGTCACGTGCATAGGTGAAAACTGTTTTGATTTGTAGTAGTTTTACATGCAGCTGATATAATTACAATCACTACATAATTACCAGGAACATTGCCGTAAACGATTGCGAATCACTTTTGATCACCGCGGCTTCTACAATGTGTACTATAACCTAGTAGTTTTGCTTTTCGCCCCCATCAAACGTTGGCTTCCTTGGCCTCGTATTCGTAAAACGAACCCGCATTTGCGTGCTTATCAGCTCAGCACCTTGGCCTCTACGCCTTCACGGGGATACCTAGACTACCTAGCGCTGGTGTTCGGCAATGTTCGGGAAGCGGTTTTGTTTGCTGCGTGAGAGCTGACTCGACAATGAAATCCTGACGGCTGTTCACTCCACTGAAGAAACATTACAATTTCACCCGATTCCGAAGGTTGCACTATTGGTTAATTAGGCTGCCCAAGAGGTGGTGTCACAGCGTTAGATGCTACGAAGAAGAGATACGTAAAAGTGGCACGCTCAGTTTCTAAGCAAAAGGCACACTCGCTTTTAGTTGTACGCGATAATAGTTGGTATGCGAGAGACTTCACTCGTAGCAGACTTCACTCGAGCCACGAACGAAGTATGTGGCCTGTCATGGGTTGAGTATCTGGTTAGTGCCGTGTGCATGTAATTTTGTTTTTAATCCACAAGACCTCAAATGAGCCGTGATCAGCACGTAGGACTACAAAGGCATATAACAGCTGCGTCTTGCCGCTACTTACCTACGGAGCAGAACCCTCGTGGCTTACAAAGATGGTTCAGCTTATATTAAGGACGACGCATCAAGCGATGGAAAAAAATGATAGGTGTAACATTAAGAGACAATAAGAGAGCATAGTGGGTCAGGGAACGAATTGCGGTTAAGTATGCTATAGTTGAAATCAAATAGAAATGGACATTGGACGGGCACGCAGCACGTAGACAGGATAACCGCTGGTCTTTGGGGAAACTGACCGGCTTCCCAGACAGGGCAAATGCACGAAGGAGAGACAGAAGTTTGGGTGGATTGGTGAGATTAAAAAGCTTCAAGGTATAACGTGGCAGCAGAAAGCACAACACTGGGTTGATTGGTGAATAATGGGAGAGGCCTTTGCCCTGCATTGATTGCAGTCAGGCTGATGACGATGACTACGAACCTACCACATAACATCGCTTGAGAGGTAGATTTGATCAAACAATACCTTGTTTCCCAGTTGCCGTCCGTAGCTACGACGGTCCATGATTCTCCATCCTCTGCAAGTTTTTCCACGGTCAAGTACGTGCTTTCCAGCTGGAAAAATTATTACAACGGCGTATTTATAAGGCGGTAATAGCAGTTACCACAACGCATGAGAGTAAAAACGGCACCTAACTCTTCTACAAGCAAGGTTACATATGTACAAACTTTGCCACCGAATAATTTTACACGTGCAAAGTGGGAAGTCAGAATAATAATCGTAACAAGGCCGTTTTTAACATGAAAATGTGCTCTTACCATCAAGTTGTTTCTTGGATGGCCGGAGACAAACGTCACAAAGACCCGATCTCCCTGAAAATGATTAATATGGTTGTCAAACGTCTCGCCCAAAGAAAACTACCGGACTTCAAATAAAGTTTATTAATTCATTGAACGTCTAGCTTTTTGTAACCATTTTCCCAACGTATCACCCCCCAGAACTCATGCTCCTGAAAACATAAGCGTTTGCTTCTACATTTATCTCTTGTTAATCCTTTGATTGCTTCGAACTGCAACCTGCGTTAAATTTTGGTAATCCGTTTTGCCTTCGCCTTTCTGCATTTTTTATCTCCGTCCGAATGTAAATAGCGCTTTGGTAAAAGTGTGCTGAATACTTTAGACCGTCTGAGATGTTGAGATGGTTATGAAGACCACAGCATACATGACTGTGTTATTTTGTTTTCCTGCATTTAGCACAAGGTAACTGTGACCAAATGTTTGAAGGGGTAAAAAAAACTTGAATTCCATACACAGCTGTAGAGCGGAATGCCGCACAGACACCTCTGCTAATAAAACGAATCTGATACAAAGCCGAAAACCCCCTTCAATCCCAAATTAAGACATTTAGGCTTGATTCTTAAATTCTTCAAAGTTATATATTTTCCTTAAATCTGACACAAGTCTACCAGGAAGAATATAGACGTATGTAACAAATATTTATTCTAGTCCAAGCTATTCATCAAAATTACGAAAATTGAATGGTCACTCATACGTTTCTCGTGATAGGTGATTCGAGTAATGGAAAGACCAACACGTGTTTTTTTTTTATATTAAGACAGGCTAGTCATTCAGTGGTCACCACTTTGATGCAGAAACCACATTGATATGGGGCAACTTATCGAACGTCTTGTCAAACGTGATAGCGCATCTTCTGTCCTATGCGATTATATTTTGAACATAAAACCCCTTTTTTCAGCATGAAATATACCAATTCACAATTTTAACATTGAAAAAAATGTGTTGCATGTTCGTAGGAAGACGCCTAGACTAAGACTGATAAGAATCCACAAGAGTACATATATTGCCCGGTTGGTACAACTCCATGAAAAAACGCGAACCACAGGGCGGGACGGAGACGGAAAAAGCACTTTTTCATCTTACGCTCTCTTTTTCCACCTCAGTCCTGTTGTTCGGTGGTCCGCGATGTTCTTCGTTTGCTATGGATATGTACTAATTTGGCCAAATCAGCACTCTTGTGGAGTTTCTTTTTTAGCAGCGCATTTTCTTGTATTTCCCGTTGTCCTGCGGTTCACGATGCTTCTCTCTTTCTAAGATCATACTATATTGTCTCACCACACCAACTATGCTCCATTAAACAAATTTCCCTGCACCAAGGCAAACGCACAACAATACACGCGCGAAGCTAAGATTATTATCTCACAGTTATATTACGATAGCAATTATATGGACACTCTCAGCTGTATTTTGCCGTTAACGTCGCCGTCACTCACCATATATATTTATTTATATATATATATATATATATATATATATATATATATATATATATATATATATATATATATATATATATATATATATATATATATATATATATATATATATATATAGAGAGAGAGGAGAGAGAGAGAGAGAGAGAGAGAGAGAGAGGTGTTGAGAAAGGTTCAGACGCAGCCTGGCAAAATGTGCTTTATCAGAGGCAAGTTGGCGAGCGGCGTGCACGAGCTACTACTACAGCCACCGATCATCATCGTCTTCTTCATTACCAGCAGAGCGTCCGTTATTCAGATTCATTACAATTACTTACAATTACTCTCCGCGAAATAAGGAGCCATCCTGGCGACCTATGGACAAGTAAAAACGGGAGAGTCGTAGCAGGGCTTAAGTCTCGAGACGTGGACAATTTCCTGGCCACGACGACATTGGTCAGAAGATGGTTCCAGTGGCTCGATCAGGTAATTCACCGGTGACGTTTTTTGTAACACACGATATGGGCCGTGATACTCGGGAACCAACTTGGTAGAAAGGCCAGGTGTAGCAGAAGGGACATGCAGCCAGACGAGTGAACCTGGATCGTAGGAAGTAGTGTTATTTGATGCGTCATGGTGGTGCTTTTGGCGTCCTTGGTCTTGGGTTGTGAATGATCTTGCCAGTTGGCGGCATTCTTCAGCGAATGTAGCGGCTTGAGACAAAGTCGTGGACTCTGAGGAGTCGGGTTAGTACGAAAAAATGGTGTCCATAGTGCAAGAAGGTTCGCGTCCGTAAAGGAGGAAAAAAGGAGAGAACCCAGTAGTGCTTTGATAAACAGGAGCACTCGGTCCCAATTGGAGTGGTCTGACTAGATATACATAGACAGCATGTCACCAAGGGTGCGGTTGAAGCGCTCTGTCATTCCATTGGTCTGGGGATGATAGGCGCTTGTAGTGCGGTGAACGACGTGGTACTCACGCAGCAATGCTGAGATGACGTCTGACAAGAATACGTGACCACGATCGCTCAGTAACTCCCGAGGTGCTCCATGACGTAATACGATGTTGTGAAGAACGAAAGTCGCAACGTCTTTTGCTGTAGACGAGAGAAGGAATGAAGTTTCGGCATACCGCGTGAGATGGTCGACGGGAACTATGATCCAGCGGTTACCGTCAGCAGTGTTGGGAAGGGGACCATAGATATTGATGCCGACGCGGTCGAAATGGTCGGGATGGGCATGGTAAGGGTAGCAAGGTACCGCTGGCTGATAAGTTTTTCGTCTCTGGCACGTCGAGCAGGCCCGAACGTATTGCCGTAGAAAACGGTACATGCCACGCCAGTAATATCGGAGACGTATGCGAGAATAAGTCTTCAGGAAACCTGCGTGGCCACATTGGGGGTCGTCATGAAACGTGGAACAAACTTCCGATCGCAGATGACGTGGAATCACGAGTAGCCACTGACGTCCACCGGGTGCGTAGTTGCGTCGTTACAGCACGTCGTCGCGAGTGGTGAAGTGCTCGACTTGCCGACGCAACGTGCGAGAAGGGGGGGAAACCGTCCGCCCAGCCAGGATGTCTAGAATCGAAGCAACCCAAGGGTCCTTGCGTTGCCCAGATGGCATGTCGGCGATGGTGATGGCAGTGGTATCACAGGTTAGACTTTCGCAGCAGTCCGGGTCAGGGGGTAGGGGCGAACGGGATAGGGCGTCTGCGTCCGAATGTTTCCGGCCGGAGCGATATACCACGCGAACATTATATTCTTGGAGGCGTAATGCCCATCGGGCGAGGCGACCGCTTGGATCCTTCAGTGATGACAACCAGCAGAGGGCGTGGTGGTCAGTCACGACGTCAAAAGGGCGCCCGTACGCGTAAGGTCGAAATTTCTCTATCGCCCAAATAATGGCGAGGCATTCCTTTTCAGTGACGGAATAGTTGATTTCGGGTTTGCTAAGAGTTCGGCTTGCGTAGGCAACCACGTATTCTTGGAAGCCGTCTTTCTGCTGTGCAAGAATAGCGCCTAGCTCAACACAACTAGCGTTGGTGTGGATCTCTGTGGGTGCTGATAGGTCGTAGTGTCGCAGAATAGGCGGCGACGTGAGGAGGCGGCGCAGTTCATTGAAAGAATCGTCACAGGTGGCAGACCAGGCTGAAAGGTCTCTAGAGCCGGCGAGGAGCTTGGTCAAAGGAGCGATGATCGTCGCGAAATGGCGGATGAAGCGCCGGAAGTAAGAGCAAAGGCCTATGAAGCTTTGGAGCACCTTCATGATGGTCGGTTTGGAAAACGCTGAAACGGCTGTAAGTTTGGCAGGGTCAGAAAAAATACCGTCTTTTGAAACCACGTGGCCAAGGATCGTAAGCTTTCGAGCGGCGAAATGGCACTTCTTCAGATTCAGTTGCAGCCCCGTGGCAGAAATACACGCGAGGACTTTCTCGAGGCGGGTTAAATTGGTCGCGAAATCAGTTGAAAAGACGACAATGTCATCTAATTAACAAAGGGAAACGTTTCATTTGAGGCCTTGAAGGATAGAGTCCATCATTCGCTTGAAAGTAGCTGGCGCGTTGCAGAGGCCGAAGGGCATGACTGTGAATTCGTAAAGCCCGTCGGGCGTGATGAAAGCTGTTTTTTCGCGATCGGCCTCTGCCATGGGTACCTGCCAGTATCCAGAGCACAGATCCAAAGAAGAGAAAAATTCGGCTTCCTGTAGGCAGTCCAAGGCATCGTCAATGCGTGGCAGCGGATAGACATCCTTGCGCGTGATTCAGTTGAGACGTCGGTAGTCCACGCAAAACCTGATGGATCCGTCCTTCTTCTTCACCAACACAACTGGAGAGGCCCAGGGACTGCTTGACGGTTTGATTATGCCACTTGTCAGCATGTCGTCAACCTGTTCATTGATGGCATGGCATTCGGTAGTTTACACACGATATGGACGCTGCCGTAATGGCGTCTCTTGACCGGTATTTATACGGTGAACAACAGATCACGCTCGACCTAAGGAAGGCTGATTGTGGTCAAACGAGGCTCGAAAACGCTGGAGGAGCTTGATCAGCTGTTTCTGCTGCCCAGGCGTGAGGTTGCAATCAATGGACCTGCGGAATACATCCATAGGTTCATTAGCGTCAGTTGCGGGTGTAATGGCACAAGTCGGTAAAAATGGCTTGTTTGGATAGATCGGGTCTTCGAAAATAAATTTAAGGTCTCGACGCTTCCCAGACACTCGCCGCGTAGCAGGATGTACGGACAAGCAGAAACGTTGCACGCATAAAGTCCCGCCGAACCATTGGAAAAGTTGATGACGGCAAACGAGAGGACGATGGTTCGGTGATGCACACTAGCTACAGTTGGTTGGAACAGGAGCGTCGAGTTAGTGACAGCAGGAGGAAACACAGGCACTAGGACGGCGGACAATGGCGCGATGCGGACTTAAGCTGCAGCAAACACTTTCAAGGGACTGTGGTGGTCGATATCAAGGCACGGATTCGTCAACGTGAGTTCAGCACGAGTGCAGTCGACGAAGGCCTGATGGGTAGAAAGGAAATCCCATCCTAGTATGACGTCGTAAGATGAACGTGGGAGAACAACAAAGTTAACGGCGTACCAAACATCTTGAATGAGAACGCGTGCTGTGCACTGAGCCGTCGGCGCGATGAAATGGGAGGTGGCTGTACGCAGAGCAAGATTCGTAAGCGGCGTTGTAACTTTTCTAAAATCGCGACACAGTTTTTCACTGATTACAGAAACGACGGCGCCTGTGTCGACAAGTACACGTACAGCAACACCTTCTACTAGCACATCAATTTCGTTGGGCGGACAAAGAGGAGCTCTTGGAAAGTTCGACGACGACGCAGTTCTTGCCTCCGGAACTGCGGCTGTCAGTTTTCCTTTCGAGCGGCTCTCGTGCGCCGAAGCATCGGGGAGACAGATCAGTGACGGGGTGGTAATGACCAGCGAGAATCGACAGGGCGTCGTGGGGACAATGAGTCGGTGATAGGAGAAGATGGTCGCTGGGGATTCTGGGCAGCCTGGTAATTTGCAGAATTCCCATGGTCTGGAGGCTGGAAGTTGCGACGGCGACAGTAGCGTGCTATATGTCCCACGAAACCGCATGCAAAAGAGATGGGTCGATTATCCAAGGTGCGCCGTGGGTTAACGACAGAAGGTGCAGGGGGCGAAACAGGATGGGGTGCCGTGTATGTAGGCAGCGTCGTAGGGTAGGAGGACCCGGTGCCCCGGTACCCCGGTATGCACCAAAGACAGGTGGGGCTGGGGGTCTAGCAACGACAGCAGCATAGGTCAGTGGCGTAGAGACAGATGGCGATGGAGGCAGTGCCTGCGTGACCTGTGTCTCAATGACCTGGCGTAGACGTGGGTCTAACGAGGTCACTGGGCGCGGATGCTTCGGCCACAAGATAAAGCTGACGCGCAACTTCTTCACGAATGAATTGTTTGATGTGGGGCAGTAAGACAGTGTGATCAGCAGCGACGTCGTGCACGAGGGCGGAAATTTCAGCCGTATCTTCAGCGGCCCTGCACGTCGAGACACGCTGCTTACGCAACTTGTCGTACTCCTGACAGAGCTGGACAACATCGGTGACGGTCTGTGGATTCCTAGCGACGAGCATCTGGAAGATATCGTCGTCAACTTCTTTGATGATGTGCTTGATTTTGTCGCGTTCGGTTAGAGATTCATTGACGCGCTTGCAAAGAGACAAGACATCTTCAATGTAGCTTGTAAAAGTCTCGTCCCTGCGCTGGACTCGACTATGGAGACGCTGTTCCACGCGAAGCCGGCGCATGGCGGGACGACCGAAGACCGCGACGATAGTGGTCTTGAAGGCGGACCAGTTGGTGATTTCGCCTTCGTGGTTCTTGAACCAGAGGCTGGCCACATCAGCGAGGTAAAAGCGCACGTTTGTGAGCTGGTCGCAGGCGTTCCACTTGTTGTAAGCGCCTACGATTTCGTACTCGACGAGCCAGTCCTCGACGTCTTGTTCATCGTTGCCGCGAAAAATTGGTGGGTCGTGTTGCCGAGGCACGCCAGTACAGTAGACTGTCATTGGTAAGGCAGCTTGAGAAGGGCCAGAAGCAGTCATGGTCAACGGTCAGAGTAGCGTCCGATTGCGAACTTCCAGGTTGATGGGAACCCCGGCTCCTGCACCACTTAAAATAGAGGTGTTGTACGTCGAGAAAGGCTCAGACGCAGCTTGGCAAAATGTGCTTTATCAGGCAAGTCTGGCTAATGGCGAGCGGCGTGCGCGAGCTACTACTACAGCCACCGATCATCATCGTCTTCTTCAATACCAGCAGAGCGTCCGTTATTCAGATTCATTACATATATATATATATATATATATATATATATATATATATATATATAGATATATATATATATATATATATATATATATATATATATATATATATATATATATATATATTATATATATGAAAATGCAAGAAAGAAAAAAATCAGATAAAGACTCCAGCGCACGGAATTGAAGGGTCCTTTGAATCGTGAGTGCGAGGAGTAACCACTGTTAAAGGCTCGAAGGCCGATAGCAGGAACGGCGGATTTCCTTTAGGGTAGCTGGCTCCCCGCCGTCGTCCGCATAGTCGATCTTCGCCAGTGAGAAGACGAGTTCGTAGAGATATAACGAAGGTTTATTTACATGATCGTTGAAAGACGAGAACTGTACAGAGATTCAGGAGATTCATCAATGTACAGAGGTTCAATCCATGATTCACCTCTATGTACAACAGAGATTCATCGATAATTTACAAAATGTTTTCGGCTTTTATAGCCCACCGTCTCCTCACACGGAGGTCCGCTGAAGGCAGTGACCACTCTTGCCACAAATCAGGTGGCATCTCAGTGGTCCACCCAACAGAAAGGGTGCAGATATTGAACCACTAGGCTGGGCGAAAAGGTCCAATGGTAGCACGAGCGCACCACACAATTACGCACCCGGCCCACGTCTTGAAGACGTCGAAGGGCGAGGAGGTAGAGTCCGGTAGAGGGAGAAGTTGAACTTCTCCGGGGAGACGGCCACTGATACGAACGTCAGAAGTGATCCAAGGCAGCGCTTTGCTACAGTGTTGCCAGAAGCTTCCCGAACTCGGCAGGCCAGGTGCTCAATCCCTGAGAACTGCGACTACGACGCCTTCCCAAGCTTCCAACGTCTCGGTGCTTTTGTGACGATTTCGCGTCGGCGACAACAGCCGAGTCGAAAGGTTGACTCCATGAGAACTGCCACAGTGGCGCCGTCCCACGCTGTTCGAACTTATTCAACAAAAGAGCTGTCTTGCGAAGCTTTTGTTGTGACCCGACAACTACCTGGAACACCTACAGGCGAGCGTCTAGCTGACTGGGCGCCAATGGGGTTGAAAGCATCCTAGCATACCGGCTTACGCACAATGGCGTCTGTCCAGAGGAACTGCCGGACCAAACGTAACACAACTGAGCTGTGTGGCAGCTTGGGCTAGTTGGCATGGCATGACGATAGTTATAGCGCGAGAACAATACGACGACACAGAGACAAGAAGGACACGAAGGACTGAGCCACCGTGGAGCACGTTCTTCAACGTTCAAACGGCAAGCTATCTATATCTACCACTTACCGCTGCTGACGGGCATCGAGGTGCGGAGTGGGTATTATGTTTTTAGCGTTACCAGCAAGATGGCGCAATGAGCGCGCGTAGCAAAATCTTCACGACGCAGCAGTTGCACTCTCGTCTCCCACGCGCACTTTGCCCCGCAAAGAGCAGGGGGTCGACACTCCTTACGCGTCCTTATCTCGCTGTAGGGAGGATGATACGTCTTGGCTGGCGTTCGGCTTCTACCGGAACAATTCTGTTTTAGTTACCGGGTGCACAAAAATCACTGCAATTGTTGCACAGTCTACGTTAGCAAAAAGAGCGCGCCTTTCAAACACAGCAAAGTAGCAACGGAGACGCTTATTCGCGTTTATATGTACCTTGAAGTACGTTTCGTGCGTCATTTGTGCGTGAGAAAAGCGGGGCATATTTAGATCTGCTGTTAATTCTGCGCGTGACCTTGAGACTTGTTGCTATCACATTCATTGTTTCGACTTTGCGACAAAGCTGTGACATTTTTTAGACTATTCACTGGACACCGCGTCTGGTACATAATAACGGACTCTACTGCGTTCTTTCACGCTGTGCTGCTTTAAAGGCTACACAAAGTACACAGCCAGTTCCATGCTTGTCTTCTTCAACGTTAACTACGGGCTTTCATTTTTTTTTCAGTATACGAGCTAGTGCTCAAGAACTGACCCTGTTGTACGCATCATTGGCGTCGGACAGCACATAGCCGAACGCTTTTCCAAGAGGGGCACCGTCGAAGACAACACCTGTCTTGAAGGTTACTTGCTTGGAGAGCAGGTTGGGAAGGGGAGGTCCGATGGGCAGGGTCGTATTGGTCGTCAGACTCACAGCCAGACCTTCGAATTGCTTTTGGTAGGCTAACAAAGTGTGCGGCCCGTATATCGTCGACGCTCCCTCGTAGCGTTGTACCTGCAATAAGTAAGTCACCGTGTGAGATACAACCATCACCACACGTGCACAGCAACCAAACACTTCTGCAATCTTAAATAACGATGTAACTTCAAGACATATTAGCCACGTCCACGCTTCAGAATAACCATCGTTCAACAGCAGTAACGGTTCCGTTACTCCCTCGGCGAGTTAGTTGACATTTATTCGGTAGCGCAAACAAGAAGGCCCCGACTTTCCACATCCAAATCCTACTCTCGTAAGTCTTCAATAAGTCGAAATCATTATATGCCCCATGAAACAGAAGACCCGGACTTCGTCGGTGTCAACACATCAACATTCGATGGCAAGAAACCTCGCATGACTAATAGATGACAAAACGTAAACTTTGGCGCCCAATTCGAAACTCTGACCCAAGTTCAGAACCGACACGGCTTACTTCCTAAAATAGCTTGAATGCACTCAAAGTTTAGGGCGCGTGCGCCTAAAGTTGACATTGCCCAATCCAAAACCTGACCCATGTTCAAAACTGGTCTGCCACACGCGCTAAGCTCACTTGGGCAACCTCAAACGTTTAGGTGGCGTACCCCTGACACCTGAGTGGCCTACCCATACCCACTACTAACAAGCTAGGCAATGGGACCAAACAAGTACTTGCAAGTTTTTTAATTAGGTACAATTTAAGTTACAGTCAAAAATTACTTTACCAATTCAAAAACTAGATAAACCTTCAATTGATGTTCACGTTCAACAAGGACCTGGCGCATCCCCAGAGTTCAGGTGACCCAATCTTAAAATTGTCTTCACCCAATTAGAAAATTTGGTTCATCCTAGTTCAAAACCGATCTGGGCACTCCCAAGATTTTTCTGGCCCACTGTCTCAACTGACTTTCTCTGATTCGCAATTCGAATTTATCCGCTTTCAGAAGCGACTTAGTCCGCTCCTAAAATGATTGTGCTCACACCTAACATTTGCATGGCCCGCCCCTAAAACTGGCATCACCCAATTAAAAAAATCAGTTGACCTACCTCAAAAACGAACCTCGCCCGGGCGCTCCTCAAATTTACTTTGCCCTGTTCAAGCTCATGACCAAGTGACCCCAACATGGGACAATGTCATGTGATCGAGAACCTCAAGTTGCAATTCGCGTGATCAAGTGATGACGTCATGTGAGAATACCATGTAACTTGGAAGTCAAAGTATTATGGACATTAATACAGTCAGCCCACCCAAACATGCCATGTCCTCACTGGCTGAGCCAGTCTGATCTGTGTGTCAGTGTGCTCAGCGTTACTTTCGCATTCATTATACGTAAGGAGGCTTAATTGTCCCCATCACTTTTTAATGCGGGGTTTAACGTTCCAAAACCACCATATGAATATGAGACGCCGTAGACGGGGGGGGGGGGGGGGGGGGGGCTTCAGAAATTTTGTCAATCTTGGGTTTTTTAACGTGCATTCAAATCTGAACCCACAGTATTTTCACCTCCAGGCTCTATCGAAAATGCAGCAGTAGAAGCCGGGATTTCATCTCATGACCTGAGGGCCAACACTTTTGCCTAAGTCGACCAAACTGTTCGTCAGAAGTCTGCACACATGATTTCCAGATAGGTTTTCGCTGTTTTCTTCGTACCATGCGATGGGTAGGTATAGTAGTGGGAATAACTCAAAATAGCTTAGCCAATCATTATGGGAAAAAGGCAAACTTCAAATTAAAAAAGTAAACATAGAACTGTCACGTTTCACTGGTCAAAGAAAGCGTGTACAATTTGAAATATACCGCAAAAAGAGAGCTATAGAAAGGATAAGTACCCTCCAAATGTCTTCTATCCGATTGGACGAACCTATACAAACTATGTGAATTGATTGCAGACAGTTAGCCAAGCAATGCTATTATGATAACAATTACATGGACACTCTCAAAGGTTTTTGTAGTCTCCGGGCAGTTTAAGATATGTTTAACAAAGTCACAGCAAGAAATTGGAAGGTCACGCGCAAAATGGCAAGCCAATCGATACATTCCCCGCGTTTATCACGCACGAATGACGGACGAAACAAACTCACAGGTACAGATAAATGCGAGTAAGCGTCTCAGTTGTCACTCCGCTGTGTTTGACAAGTGTGTCCTTTTTGAAAACGGACACTGTGCAGCGAGTACAGTGACATTTGGGCGAACGGTAACTACAACAGAATCGTTCCGATGTGGGGTACGATTCTCCCCACCCGAGATAAGCGCGCGCACGCGCGAGAGTCCCCCCCCCCCCCCCCTGCTCTCCGCGTGGACCTGTATGGACCTTTTAAAACGACTCAGAAGCTCAAGCCCACATTTTTAGCCCAAGTTCTCATGCTTTTATCGCCCAAGTGAATGATCGAAAAGCTGGGAGTTCCACCTGTAATATTGTCGCAGCAAATAAAATAATGCAATATGTTTTTATTATTTTTTTCTATCATCTGTGACAAACGTTTCACGAGGTTTTACCACAAATCAATGATGGGGTGTTTAAATATTGATTTTTCATTAGGCTTTACTGTCGACGAATTTGCATGTTTGAGGCCATTTATAAAATTATGTGTTCGAAGTACAGTAACGGTATTGACAGGCGATATTGTAAACATTATGTTGTAATAGGTCACCAAGTAATGAAACACTAGCTGGTTTATTTTAGCGAAAAAAAATTTCAAGTGAAGCAACTTTTAAAAATATCACCTGTTCAGACATTTTCAGAAACACTTTGCTTCAGCATACAATTTTCAAACAATGCTGCTTCATTCTTCATTACATGTACATTTACTAAAAAAATCGTCTTCATTAGACTAATATTTGGGTTTCTATATTGTCGTTAACTTTCGAAATTGAAAAGAGAAGGACCTGGTCCCTCTGTACAAATTAGGCTCGATATTTTTGCTCCTCACTTATGCAGTTAATAGAATAATGAATGTCGCTTTCAGGCTACAAGGTGGTATGTGCATAAAATATAAAATAAACAGTCAAATCTAAAATATCAGCTTTTCAACCTGTGTTTATCTCTCGTGGAATCACTCAGTAGGTGTTCCTTCTTACCTCAGTGGCTAACGCCGCGCACTCACGCGCAAGAAGTCGGATTTTCGATGGCGTGCGCCGAAGTCTTTTAGGGGCTAAGCTCTTTAAGGCGTCACCCGATCGTCCTCTGTAATAACCACCTCTCTCGGGTATGTGCCACAGGGGAGTTCAGTTCTTAGAATGTACGCTAGATGGTGGTATTTGTATATAATCAATGGCAGGAACAGGCTGGCTAAGGGTGGCAGGAACAAGCTGAAGTGGGAGAGATAGAAGAACAGCTAAGGGAGGAGAGGCCGGTGGTATACAGTTTTGTAGAAACACATCTGAGGGACATGGAACAACATCCTAACAATCTCGACTACGCGTGGAAATATTGTAATAGAACAGAAGACAGCAGAAAGGGGGGTGGTATTGGGGCACTCATTCGTAAAAGTACAGACTGGCAAAGGGTCAAGCAGGAGTGCAAGGAACATTTATGACTAAAAGGGGAAGTGGTATTGATAAGCAATAGGATCGAGTACCTAAAGGAACGCGAAATATACGGGACGACTAAAGGTAACGGGAATGCAGAAGTGATGCAAAACAGGGCACTGTAGAATTACATTAGGTATGATATTGTGAGAGGAATATAGAAAGGGTCATGGTTCCTGGTCTGACGTTCGGCAATGCGGTGTTGTGCATGAGATAAGAAGTTCAAGCAAGATTAGAAATTTAGCAACGTAAAATAGGTAGGCTTGCCTTAGGAGCTCACGGGAATACACCAAATCAGGGAGTAAAAGTGGATATAGAATGAACATAATTTGAGTGCAGGGAAGCTAGCAGCCAGATAAAATTTGAGAAGCGATTGAGAGAAATGGGGGAGGAGCGTTGGACTGGAAAGGTTTTCAGCTACTTGTACATGAAAAATGCCGATACAAAGTGGAGGAAGGGAACCAGGAAAATTGACCGGTAAATACTTAGAAAACAGCAGGGGGCCAAACAGAAAAGAACTGTTGGTTAAGAAGAAACTGAAGGAAACGAAGACCGATACGGAGAGAATTGGCATGATAAAGAAGTCCGCACTAGAGATCTATCAAACTTTTAAGCAGGAAATTTCCAAAGAAGGAATCTAGGATGATACTCGGGGTAGTTCCCTACTGTTTGAGGCCAGGACGGGAGTATTGCGAACCAAGACATATCGGGCCGAATACGAAGGGGTAGACACGGTATACAGTGCGTGTGGAGAGGAGGAGGAAACTGCCGAACACTTGATAATGTTCTGTAAAAAGCTTCAACCTACAGTTCAGGATGATGGCGCAGAGTTTTTCAAAGCACTGGGGTTTAGGGACCGGGAGGGCAAAAGATACTTTAAGCGGGTAGAGTTAATTAGAAGGAGGTTATCTGATTGGTGGCTAAAGTGAAGGCACGAGTGAAAATTAAACCCAAAGTACGAGTTCTCAACCTCACTATTTAAAGGAAAAAAAATAAATCTAGTTTTTGGTTCACTAAGAATTACGGCTTGGTGGCGTTAGCCACCGCCCGATCTAAAGGGTACAGCCATATCCATCCATCCATCCATCCATTTAATATATGGTGAAAAGATTCTTCTTTGAAAGTGCACTAGATGGTGGTACATGTACATAATCAATGATATGATATGTGGAGTTTAACGTCCCAAAACCACTATATTGTCACGTTACTCTCGACAAACTTGATAAAAAATGGGCTCGTTTAGTCGACTACTCAAGCAGCAGCTCAGAGAGATCGTCTTTGTCTTCTTTCACACTTCGATCTCACCCAAGCAAACCATGTGGCAATAGTCCCCCCCTTTGAAAGCATCGACTCGATGCTCGTAAATAAAAAAAAAATGAAGGTATACACACGCAGATATAGAGAACCAAAAGAGGGAGAGTGCCACTACTCGCAGCGCAAATGAGGAAGTTTCGCCAACGCTTCTGCCAAGCGCAAAAAGAAAGGGCATAAAAACACACGAGAACACAAA